GTGTTCAAGGCCACTGGCTGTGGTGAGCAAGGCCACTGGCTGTGGTGAGCAAGGCCACTGGCTGTGGTGAGCAAGGCCACTGGCTGTGGTGAGCAAGGCCCTCCTTGGGTTGGAAATGGAGTTAAGTTGTAGGTAGAGCGGATTTGGTGGCGTATGCCTGTAGTCCCAGCACCCAGCGGGCAGGAGGATCAAGGATTCCACGCCTTCCTGAGCTATATGGTGTAAGACTGTCTCATTCATGAAACCCACTTTATAAAAGAGAGAGAGGGAAATGGGAAAGAGGCAGGTGGATCTCTGTGAGTTCCAGGACACAGGGACACACAGAGAGAAGCCTGTCAGAAAAAAAACAAAACAAAGCAAAACCAAAAAGCAAGGCGGTGATGGTGCACACCTTCAGTCCCAGCACTAGGGGGCAGAGCCAGCCTAGTCTACAAAGCAAGTTCCAGGACAGCTCAAGATACACAAAGAAACCCTGTCTTGAAAAACCAAACCAAGCCTGGCAATGGTAGCACAAGCCTTTAATCCCAGCACTTGGGGGACAGAGGCAGGAGGATTTCTGAGTTCGAGGCCAGCCTGGTCTACAAAGTGAGTTCCAGGACAGCCCGGGCTACACAGAGAAACCCTGTCTCGAAAAACCAAACCAAACCAAACCAAAAAAAAAAAAAAAACCAAAACCAAAAACAAACAAACAAACACAAAAAACACAACCAAACCAAACCAACCAACCAACTAAACAGACAAACAAAAAAACAGAGACAGAGTATGTCTTGTAAAGTGGCTCATGGAGCATCGGGGAGGCTGAGGCAGAAGGGTTACCCTCAGTCTGAGAACAGCTTGGGGTATATAGTGAGACTCTGCCCCACAAAAACAATGAAAGGGGAAGGAGTGAGAGGAGGGGAGGGAGGGAGAGCATCTTTAGAAAGCAGGCCTTGCCTGGCTTCTGGAGACTTCAGTTGAAAAAGCAGAGACCCCCCTCCCCCAACACACACACACACATACACACAGCACAAGCCTAAACAGGCACAGCCAGAGGTAGAATGCCAGGCACAGAGGTGGAGAGAGGGAGCCAGATGTCCCACACCTGTATCCCACCTGATCATTCTTCCTCTTTCAGGTTACTCTTCTGCTGCTGGTTTCCTTGGATGCTGAGGGCAGAGATGCAGTCTTAGAGGCCCTGGATACCTCACACAGAGACAGAGTCCCCTCTAGCCTCTCCTGACACAAGGACCCCCCCCCCCCAGTCACCCCAAGATAGAGATTCCCAGTGACGCCTCCAGAATAGAAACCCCCTGTTAGCCAGCCCTCGATTACTGAGGCCCCATTATTAACAGATCTCCCATGATGACGACTCCCCAAATACAGACCTCATGTTACCCCTACCCCCCCCCAAAGAGATTCCCTGAGTAGCACCTTCAGGCTAGTCCCTGACCCCTACCCCTCAGAGCAGATTTCCCCCAATAAACATTTTCCACATAACCCAAGGGATGCTGACCCTCTCCAGAGCAGGACGTTCTTGAGTTACCAGTGGATTAGAGTCCCATGAATGAAGACCCCTCTCCCGGTTCTCCTTAAGCATAGGTCATACCTCCAGAATAGTCAGTCACATCACTCTCCCCATTTAACCTCAGTCTCTTCAAAATGTCGTGACCCTAAGGTCACCAGAAAGCACTTGTGCTCTACTCTCCTTCTCAGAGATGCCCTCCATTCGCTTAAGTCCCTGGTCTCACCCCTGAACGAGACACCCACTTAACCCGCCCACTCACCCCAATTTACAAACACCAAAACCGTCCTGGAAGCATGAATTACAGGACAGCAAGTCTTCCTGCCCTCTGCACCCTCGAGAAACCCCCAGTGCCTTGTATGAAGCCCACCCCACATGGCCCACAGTCCCTGTGCTGGCCAAGGCTCCCAGAAAATTCTCTATTTTTTAAAGTAATAATTTTCCCCCTTTGGGGGGAAATCCCCAAATTTGGAGACCCCATTCTAGAACTCTGGGGAGTTCAAATTCCAGAGAGAATATATATTATATATACACCCCCAGTTCCCCATAACTCCAAGCCCTACGATCTCTAGAAGACCCCAAATTTCTAATTCCCAGGACTTCCCCTACCCAAGTCACAGAATCTTCAAATCCCCAGGGAATCCCAAACTTAAGACCCCAATCCCAAACCCTCAGGAAACTCCCAACTACAAGGTCCTTAGGACTGGGAGTAAGGAACTTGTTGCCAGGAGAACACCCCAGGTTCTCAGGGCATCTCAAACCTAACTCCCAGGCACCAGGAGACCCCCCCAAACAGGAAGTCCCATCTTTGGAACTAGAGGACTCTAATACCCTTAGACCATGGATCTTCTAGTCTCCTAACCTCCAAATTCCATGGGCCCCAGCCTCAAGGGAACCCCCAAGTCCCAAATCTCTGAATGCTAATATGTGCAGGGCCCCAGGGCTCTAACAGGACCCCAAATCATGGAGTCCCTACTTCAATCTACCTTCCGGCCACAGGTCCAAGACACTAAATCTGAGTTATTAGCCCCAAAGGACTTCACAGCACCTGGGCCAGACCAACAGCCCGAGGGAGAACCTGAGGGCCCCATGGGTCCAGAGCAGACCCGGGGCCCTGACCACCAAGGACAGCTCACGACTGCCCCTTCACTGCATGTCCCTAAACTCAGCATGACTCCTGTCCTCTTCAATAAAGACGTTTCTATGGCCTTCTTGTGTCATGTCTCTGGGGGTTTACTGCATTGACCCTGTGCTCTTGCTGGGTGAGGATGGCGGAAGGCTTCTTAAAAATGTCCTTTCTCGGGCTGGAGAGATGGCTCAGCGGTTAAGAGCACGGACTGCTCTTCCAGAGGTCCTGAGTTCAATTCCCAGCAACCACACGGTGGATCACAACCATCTGTAATGGGATCTGATGCCCTGACAGCTACGGTGTGCTCATATACATAAAATAAATAAAAAAAAACTTTAAAAAAATGTCCTTTCCCTGAGTTTGTGGCATAGGACCTACAGCTTGGCTTGCAGAAGGGTAAGTCCTTCAGGCTTCTTTCCTGCAGTTTCCCTCGCTGTAGGTCTCATCGGAGTCCGCACAGAACGAGCAGGTCTGTTAGGTTCTGGAGTCCTGATTGGTAGGAGCCAGGTGAAGTCCCGCCCCTGAACTTAGGACACAGCCTATGCCTGAGCGGCAATGGCGACACCGAATGAGAGCGTGGATTGGCTGGAGGGCGGGCCCATAGGTTCTCTGAGTTTGCCCAGTGGTCTAAAACTTCCTGCGTCAGTAATCCTGGGCGGAAGTGGCTGGGGGGGGGGGGCGTGCGAGGATGTGAGTGTTGACTCTGGACATTGGAGAAGACACTGTGGACGGTCATATTTATTTTGGAGAGGAGGGCTTCAGGGGGAGCTGTAGAGGTGAGTGTCCAAAGGGCTGAAAGTGAGGATCTAAGGGGACTCAGGGTGGGAGATCTAGGGGATCCCAGAGTATGGAATCCTGACACTCAGTGGCTCTGGGGTCTGACAGGTTCTACGTGGGGAGAAGCTTTGGCAGTCTGGCTCAGGTCCGAGGATGCTGAGGTGAACGGGGCACTCGGCAAAGGAAGTCAGAGAGGGTTCCGAGTGGGGAGATAAAAAAGGCTGGGAGTGGACAAAGCTCAGATTAGGGGAGCAGAGGTGCTCAGAACGGGGGGTGTGAAGGAGCTGAGTTGGGGGGTCCTTAGGCTCTGAGGGACCTATGCTTACGGTTGCACTCGAGAGAGGCTTCCTGTGTGGGCTCAGAGAATGCTCTCCGTGAGGCTTGGGAAGACTCACGTGGGCGTCAGTGGACAGAGCGATGGAGGAGCGTATACTGACTGCTGATATCAGAGCTGGGATCTGGGCATCGCGGGGCGGAGAGTGATCTTTGGGGTGGCTTTGAGAAACCGATGACTCCAGCTTTAAAGACTGGAGTTTATAGGAAGTCTCAGGGTAGGGTCTGGCCCCGATGGGCTGGAAGGAAGGCTAGTCACAGCTTGGGAGGCTTAGTGACTTATTCCTCCCCACAGGACGGCACACAAGGAGTTGGTATCCATGGAGGAGCAGGACGCCAGGGTCCCAGCACTGGAGCCGTTCAGGGTGGAACAGGTTGACAAGACTGGGGTGTAGAGGAGTGTGGGATGGGTGGAGTGACAGACTGATTCCTGGGTCTCTTGGTTGGACTGCCCCAGCTCTCCTCGGAGTCTAGCCCTCTGCCCCACTTCCAACCTGCAGGTTCATAGGCTATCCCAAGTCCCTCTCCAAAGGGAAAGGTTGTCCAGTCACGATAGGATCCCTGTGTTGGGCAAAGGTGCTCTTAACGTTCTTAATGCTGGGACCTTTTAATACAGTTCCTCATGTGGTGACCCCGCCTCCACCATCAAATTATTTTCATTGCTGCTTCATAACTATTTTACGAATCATAGTGTAAATGTCTGTCTCCTGATAGTCAGGTCTGTTGACCCGAGGGGGCCGCGACTCACAGGTTGAGAACCACTGTCCTAAGGGCAGTCTTTCCTTCATAGGCGCCACCTCTGATCTACTATGTCCCTGACTTCATCTCCAAGGAAGAGGAGGAGTATTTGCTTCGACAGGTGACCCCAGTGCCCCTCTTCTTTTAGCGTGTGTGTTTGTGTATGTGTGTGTGTTTGTGTGGTCACACGGCACAAACGTTTACTGGGGGAGGGGCCATCAGTCCTTGGCTGCTGCTTTCCTCATGGCTGCCAGCACGTTGCTCAGCTCCTCCTGCTTCCTCTTGGCACTGATGTGCGTGCCCACCCTCTTCGTGGTGAACTCGAGACCCCACTTCTCCTTGGACACCTTGAGCAGCCTGGTGGCATGCTGCTCATTGGACATGAAGCTGCACACCTCCCGGGTCCTGAACTTGGTGTGCTTGGTGAGGCGGCCATGGCACTGGCTAAGCCTCGGTTTGCTGGTGTTCTTTGTCACCTTGTGGTCCTTGTTAAGGCCCAGGGCCATGGGGTAGCACATGGCTACTGTTCTCCTATGGCAGCCAGAACAGGACCCCCTCCCCCAAGCGCTCTTCTAGCCTGCCTTTCTTGTCTTCCCATAATTTCTTTCCAACAGTCAGCCCCCGTATGAGAACCCCAGAACTTCTGTGGGAACCCTGGCAGGAAGAGTTCCTCTTTCAGACGCTTCTGAAAGCGTCTGTCTGAAGCGCTTTCTCAGCCAGGTGTCACAACACATACTTGCAGTCCCAGCTAGGGAGGCTGAGGCAGGAGGATCCCAATTTCAGGCCTTTTGGTTTTTTAGATTTTTTTCATTTCATGTGTGTATGAATGTTTTGTTTGCAGGTATGTATGTGTATCACCTCTGTACAGTATCCAAGGAGGCTAGAAGAGGGTGTCAGATCTCCTGAAACTGGAGTTACATATGGTTGTGACACAAGGGTGCTAGGAATTGAACCTGGGTCCTTTGCAAGAACCACAAGTAGTGCTTTAAACCACTGAGCCAACTCTCCAGCCCTGTATCTTGAGCTCTTGTTTGAAACAAAGCAAACAAAATAAACAAGAAAGAGGTTCCCTTAGAGGCTTAGGGAAACCAAAATCTATCTCTCTCCCTCTCTCTCTCTCTCTCTCTCTCTCTCTCTCTCTCTCTCTCTCTCTCTCTCTCTGTGTGTGTGTGTGTGTGTGTGTGTGTGTGTTCGTCCGTTCGTCCTGCTGTCCTGCTGTGGGGTACATGCTAGACACACATTATACCATCAAGGCTCGTCCGCCAGCCTAAGGGCACACATAAAGCTCACATCCTCCACACTGAGATAGCCCAGTCTAACCTCTAAAACAAGGGTGTTATTGAGATTACATTCCTGACAGGAAGAGCCCAGTGCAACCCCAGAGCCTTGGGTACTGAGTATCAGAGCTCATTTTCCCTATGTTGAGGAATCCTAGGTTGGCTCATGTCTGCAGTGCCAGCTCTGGGAAGGCGGATGCAGGAGAATCAGGGTCCACAGCCCTGCTCAGTTACGTGGACCTTTGGAAATCAGTCTGGGATACATGAGATCCTATCCCCCTGCCCCTCCCACCAAATCTGGGCCCATAGTACACCAAGAGTAAAGTCCCATTCACAGCTGTGGGTGCAATCTGTGTAGAACATCTGTCACCCCATTGATCGTCAAAGTTGACTCAGCTGGTCTGTCTTGGCAAGCGTCCCTCTGCTTCCCCACACCTCCATGAGTCTTCTTGAAGCTAAACTCTTTTTTTTTTTTTAAAGCTAAACTCTTGATAAAGCAACCTTCCTAGATAGAGGAGGACCACTTAGTGGAGTGGTGTAGGTTCCTGTCCTGGCCATCCCTGTAGCCCCCTTCCTCCCCAGCCTCATGAAGATGGACCACTGTACTACCCAACTGTCAGCCTGGGCTCTCTTTTGGTCAAGATTATATGAATAGCTGCTCTCCCCAGCTAGAACCTTCAGACTGAATAGCTGTTCTCCATAACTAGAACCCCTAGTCATGCTCTAGATAGCCCATTTTCACCCCACATGAAGGCCCTTGTGTTGGCATGGGTGGGAAAGTCCTGAAAACCCCATTCCTTACCTCCTAGGTTTTCAATGCCCCAAAGCCAAAGTGGACCCAGCTATCTGGGAGGAAGCTTCAGAACTGGGGTGAGTGTTCCTGGCTAGGGAATATGATCCAGGAAAGACAAGAAGAACTCAGGTTCAATGGTTTCAAAACATGTGGGGCTTTCAGCGAGGGTCCGAGGGGTCCCAGGAATGAAGATTCAGGGATTGGGTGGTCTTGAGGGATTTAGGCACCTGTTAGTTAGTTGGGAGTATCTCTGAGGGCCAAGTGCTTGAAGGAGCCTTCAGGAAGATCCAGTGGCAGTCTCCAAAACTCAGTGGGTAGGGATGCTTCCAACCACTGGAATATCTTTAATGGGGGGTTATCAGATTCCAAAACTCCGATTGGATACCTTCAAGCCTCCATTGCACCCTGCAGGTGGGCTCCCCCATCCCCGGGGGATGGTCCCTGAGCGACTCCCTCCATGGCTTCAGCGCTACGTGGACCAAGTGTCTGACCTCAACCTCTTTGGGGGTCTCCCAGCTAACCATGTCCTTGTGAACCAGTATCTGCCTGGGGAGGGCATCATGGTAACCGCACATCCTCACCCAAGTTCCCCTGCTAAGTACCTCCCCCAGATCTCCATGTCACTAAGAGGAGGGTCGCCATCATGTTTGCCTACCCTCACTCAGCAGCACTCCACCTAGGCGTGTCCCTCCCCATCCCAGCTTGGGAGCCCCACTTTGACTTAGTGGAGCAGTGTAGGGCCCTGCCCTGGCCATCTCTGGTGCCCCCTTCCTCCCCAGCCTCATGAAGATGGACCACTGTACTACCCAACTGTCAGCACCATCAGCCTTGGCTCCCACACTGTCCTTGATTTCTATGAACCTCGACAGCCAGATGAAGACGTCCCTACAGAACAGGTGGGTCCCGAGATGATGCCTCAAGCACTTGGGGGCATTCTAACATCTGTCATCCCGTATACTCCAGGGCAGTCTGACCCTACCTGTATTTAGAGTATTCCTGACACCCAGTCATGCTCCCTTGTCCCTCGTTGGCTATCCCTACTTTTTCCCAGATACCCAGCCCATACCCAGCCAGTCTGCATGGTGTTCCAGCTGCCGTGATATCCACAGATACCAATACTTATTTCTCTGTGGTATTAGATGGCTGAGTTTATGGATGACTCGTGACCCTCCCACAGACCACCCGAGCTCAACACGATATTCCAACAAACTTTTTTTTAGAAATTACTATTTACTTATCTTTGAGAAGAGGTTCATGTAGCCCAGGCTGGCCTCAACATTTGCCATCTTCCTGTCCCATCCTTGGAGTGCCAGCGTTAGAAGTGTGTGCCCCCATGCCTGGCTCCAAAACATATTCTTTTTTTGTTTGTTTGTTTTGTTTTTCGAGACAGGATTTCTCTGTGTAGCCCTGGCTGTCCTGGAACTTACTCTGTGGACAGGCTGGCCTCGAACTCAGAAATCCGCCTGCCTCTGCCTCCCAAGTGCTGGGATTAAAGGTGTGCACCACTACCACCCGGCAACCAACACATATTCTTGATATCCTCAAGATATCCCAATGTGTCAATCTCTCACGTGTGCCCCAGCGTCCTCCCAGACTGCACAGGGCACCTTAACACCAGTGTCCTGAAACTCTAGTCCTATGCTCTGTGAACCCTAGATTCTCCTTAACCTCACTCGCCTCAGTTGGAGATAACCAACACCCTTACCTAGCTCTTAAGTCATGCATTCTTGATACTCCAGTGTTCATAGGGTCTCTCCCTCAACACCCCGGCCAGATGTTGCTCAGCTCCATTCCTTAAAGTCCCCTCTTTTCCATCCCTTCCACCCAGGTAGGCTTGCTGCAATTCCAATTCCCGACTAAAGCCTCTCTTAACATCCAGAGTCCTGGAATAGGCCACTCCCTTTAACCTCTGTATTAGAGCCTGACCTCAGCAGTGCACCCCCAGATTAGCTCTGAGTAAGTATCCTTGGGACTGCCCATTTCTGTCCCATCCCCTCAGATGCTAGCTGAAGCAAGCTTTATGTCTTCATCTGCAGCATCGGCCCTGGCTCCTCCCAAAGACTAAACACACACACACACACACACACACACACACACACACACACAGCCCAATAGCCTTGTCCGTAGAACCTATAGATTACCACTCCTGGGGACTTGCTGACCCTTGTCCCCTCACCAACTGCTGAAGCCTGCTGACTTTTCATCCGTTCCCAAACGCGGACCATTATCCCGCAGCCCCGGCCGCCTCAACAGCCCATCACCTCGCTGCTGGTGGAACCACGGAGCCTGCTGGTGCTCCGGGGCTTAGCTTATACACGCCTGCTCCACGGCATCACAGCCACCTGCGTGGATGAGTTGGACGCTACCTCACTACCGCCCAATGCTGCTGCCTGCCAGTCTGCACTGCCCGGAGCCCACCTGGTGCGCGGCACCCGAGTCTCTCTGACCATTCGCCGCGTGCCCCGCGTGCTGCGCGCCAGCCTCCTGCTGAGCAAGTGACCACCAGGCTCCAAACCCTGTGACCTTAGTACCCTAGGGCAAAGGTAGCTGTCCAGGGTTATTTATTTTCTCAGTAACTATGGAAACTGGGGAGCAGACAGACGCCCATTCCAAATAAACGGAAAATACCTTTACTCGTTTTGTGTTTTTTTTTTTTTTTTAAAGTGGGAACAGAAGCTTCAGTTTTTTTCTTCTACCCTGTTCCCCTCTTCAATACTGGAGGTAGAACCCAGGGCTTCTTGGATCCTAGATAAATGCTGCACCGCCAAACTATAACCCAGCAACAATTGCATTATTTTTTAGTTTTGTGATAAGGCCTCCATAAGTTGCCTAGGCTAGCCTTGAACTTGAGATCATCTTGCCTGAGATGACAGGCTGTAGCTGCCAGGTGCTTGGACTTTTTTTTTTAAGTATCATTATACCCAAGATTTTAAAGGGATGGGAAGGGCCCTGGTGCTCAGATCCAGGCGTCCCTGAAGGTGACAAGATCCAGGGTCGTGAGGGAGATGGGTGGAGTTTTCTATCTCAAAGCCCTACAGGATGGTGTGGGTGTGGTGTTGGAAGGTTGAGGTTCTTCTGCTGGGAAGGAAGGAGTTAAATGTCTCCGCACCTCGGCAAGGCATCGGATTTCTCAGGTCCAGGTTCTTCCAGGAAGGGGTGGGGCTAGGCTGGCCCCTGGGCCTCTCAGTAGCCTCGGGCTTGGCTAAGTCTTGCAGAGAAAGCATGGGGGACCGTCTAAGAAAGAGGCTGTTACTCGACATCCTCACCTGACTGTCCCCAAGTGCACAGCCATGGCCCTGTTTCCACCTCTTGGCCATGGGTTCCCCACAGAGCCTGTGAATCACCCCCTGGGAGCTCCTAGAGAGCCGGATGTTGCCGGACATACCCTCTGCCCTGCACCTGAGGAGGACACAAACAGGTGGGGACTGGGGCTTGACTGGGAGCCAAGGCAGGGAGCTGTGGGAAGGGCAGTGCCCGACCATAACCGAATAAGGACATGCAGAAAAGTGGGATGGGGTTTAGGTGGGAAAGGAGACACTGTGGCTCACCAGGGGGCCCATTAACTTTTCTTCTTCCTAGGCCAGAGCGGGTCCAGGCCTCCTTGGGCCCACCTGAGCATTTCCTGGGTGAACTGAAGGGCACTGAGCCTTCCAGTAGCCCCTCAAGGCTACCACTGGCCTCTTCCAATGAGCATCAAGATGAGAACAAACCCTGTGAGGTGAGCTGAACACACCCTCTGTTCCAGTCCCATTTCTTCTTCTTTTATTTATTTATTTATTTGTTTGTTTGTTTGTTTTTTCTGAGACAGGGTTTCTCTGTGTAGCCCTGGCTGTCCTGGAACTCACTATGTAGACCAGGCTAGCCTTGAACTCTCAAACTCAGAAATCCGCCTGCCTCTGCCTCCCAAGTGCTGGGATTAAAGGCGTGCGCCACCACTGCCCGGCTGCCCAGTCCCACTTCTTATCTGTTCCCCTGAATCTGCCTCTTGCTCTGTGGATGATATGATGATTCTGAGGGGGTGCTGGGTACCCGTGGAGGAAAGGACACCGTAAGGACATCTGTTTGGCAGTCAGTATGGAAGTCTTTCAGTTATTTGTAATCTTTTTGTGTATTGCCTGTGCATGTCATGCGTTCGGGTGCCAGAGGCCAGTGTCTCTGTCACTCTCCACCATGTGTTTTGAGACAGGGACTTTCACTGAACCTTGGCTAGGATGGCCAGTGAGCGCCACGGATCTGCCTGCCTCCACCCCTCCAGCACTGTTATTACCGACCGGTGCCACCTGCTTCGTTCTTTGTGTACCTACTGGCACAGCACACACTTTATCAACTGAGCCATCTCCCGGGTTTCCCCCAACCTCCTTATATGAGACAGGCTTTCACTGTGTAGCTCAGGCTACCCTTCAACCTTCCATTCTCTTGCCTCAGAGAACTGGGGTTCTCTGAGTATATTTTACCATCTCCAATCTGGACATATTTCCATGTTTTACCAAGTAGGACATGAGAATTTTATTAATGACCCCATTCGTTTTGGGGGCTCTCTGCTCTATTACCCCTCCCAGGTTAGGCCCATATAAAGATCTTTCTAGAAGACTTGGGACCCTGAAGATCTTAATTAGATGTCTCCAACCTTGGGATAAAGAGCTGCCAAGTGGGAGCATCCCAAGTGTTGTTCTGGAGAGGAGCATGGCTTCAGAGAAACACCCACAAGGCAGCAGCCTGCTTGGGATAGGGGTAGTGTGTTGGCCCACTGGCCCTGATTTTGGCCCCCTGGATCTCCAGCACTCTGACTCTGGTCTGGAAGTACTGGAAGCTGAACAGGACAGTCTACATCTTTGTCTGTTGAGGTTGAACTTCCGGCTACAGGACCTGGAACAAGGCCTTGGATCTTGGACGCTGGCCCACAACAGGATGGTCCAGCTGCAGGTAGGCAGTGGGAGGCCAGGACATGGGGTGTGGGTAGAGTCCTTGGTATGGGTGTAAGCTTTCTTGGGTAGAAAGTGGGTTTGTTGCATATTCTGACTTCTACACAGGACATGGAAGACAAAATAACTCCAGGTTCTGAGGCGGGGAATCTGGTATGACTGTCATGTGTATGAGGCGTGTGTGTGTGTGTGTGTGTGTGTGTGTGATCTGGTATGACTGTCGTGTGTGAGAGCGTCTCACCATGTGCTCCAGGCCCTGCAGGCAGAGCTCCGAGGGGCAGCTGACCGTGTCGATGCATTGCTTGCATTTGGTGAGGGCCTGGCAGAGAGGAGTGAGCCCAGGGCCTGGGCATCCCTGGAGCAGGTCCTGAGGGCCCTTGGAACCCACCGAGACACCATCTTCCAACGGCTCTGGCAGCTGCAGGCTCAGTTGATCAGCTATAGCCTGGTATGACCTGCCCTGGTAGTCCCCAGCCCAGACCCTAATCCCCCCAACTCCCATGACATCTATCCTCTGCTCCAGGTGCTTGAGAAGGCCAACCTCCTGGACCAGGATTTGGAAGTTGAGGGAGACTCAGACGGGCCAGCAGCTGGTGGAGTCTGGGGGCCCTGGGCACCCAGTACCTTCCCCACTCCCGCAGAGTTGGAGTGGGACCCAGCAGGGGATGTTGGGGGTCTTGGGCCCTCAGGGCAAAAGATATCTCGGATACCAGGAGTTCCCTGTGAGCTGTGTGGCTACAGGGGACCCCAGAGCAGTGGACAGGGCCTTGAGGTGAGATCAGCCTCCTTCTAAGGCTCCCTGCTTGGCTGGGCCCCACAAGCTACCTTTCTGCCCCTTTCTAATATGGCTTTTCCCTTTCAAGGAGGACTTGGCCCTGTCTCTCCCTCTAAGCCTCTCTTGTTTGATTTTTTGATTATTATTATTTTTTTTAAAGACAGATTCATGCTATGCAGTATAGGCTGGCCTTGAACTCACAAGCCTCCTGCCTTAGTCTCTTCAGTGCTGGGGTCATAGGCATGCCCGCCTACCTGTGTCCACCCTAGCTGTCACCATGATTCTCTTGTGCGTCCTGTATCTCCTTGCCACCACAGATCCCCGTTTGCCTCCTTCCTCTCTGTCTTCGTCCCTTCATTCCGCTCTTCCCTGTGCCATGGACACAGTCCAGAACCTTCTCGAACCTCACCAGCCTCACACGCATCTGTGTGCCCAGCTTACCTCTCCCAGATTAGCTCAGTCTCCTTGTGTCACCTCTTCAAAGAGCTGCTGTGACCCAACTTAGCCTCCCTCCACCATTACTTCCTGACGCTCCTCACGGCGGCTTGATGTGACATATTTATTTGTTAACTTCCTACCTCTCTGGGTGGAATGTTAAGCTCCACAAAGACCAGAAATTTTGCCCAATTCCATTCTCACCAAGCCTCCTAGAATTGTACCTGGCATGTAATAGACACTCATTAAATATTTATTGGATGAATGAATAAGTAAAGTTTCTCTCCTCTTGGTTTCTTTGGCTCTGCCCCTCTCTGTGTCTCCCACAAGATCCAAGTGTTTCGGCATAATTTCGTCTCTGTGGCACCTCCTCCCAGAACCTTCTATAACCATGCTATCGGTCTTCCAAGAAACATGAACCTTTCTCTTCCCACAGGACCTGCTCTCATTGGGGCTTGGCCACCGGAAACATTTAGCGGCTCACCACCGAAGGCGTCTCCGGAAGCCTCAGGTGAACTAGGCGCACCAGGGGATGTTGATCCCAGTCAAAGAGACCCAACCCGTACTGACAGCCACATACGAAGGAACATTCTTTTCCCCTGTAACCGAAAAGTCTAGACGTCACAGATTCAGGACCTAAAACAAATCACACTTCCGTCTCTGTCTTTTGGGCTCTTCTCCCACCCCAGCTGGAGTCCCTTTTCCCTTGTTTACTAACCTACCCCTATGACCCCTGACCTACTTGCAGTAGCCAAAGTCCCAGGCTTGACTTCACCTGCCCAGCTTGGGTCACAGGCTGCACCCTGGACTAGTCAAGAGTGCTCCGATTGGCCAGGTCTGAGTCACATGCCCCATCACAGAAGAGGGGAGAATGGAAGCCAGACTAAAGTGACCCTGAGGGTCTGAATATAGAAGCACCCACACACCCCACATCATTACATCAGCGTCATTAGGAAAAGGGCAGTGGGTACCTGAAGGACAGGTACAGATGCCCACCACACTATACATTCATGTGGGGTTCAGGGATGCCAGGAAAGGAGGAGAAATAAAGCCAGCCCTGTAGGTCTGGAGCAGTGAGAGAATGTCCTCACTTAAGTGTCACTGACAATCCTCCTGCTGCTGTCTGTCCTCAGGACAAGAAGAGGCAAGTATCTCCCAGTCTGCCTGATGTAATGCTGCAAGTGGATCATGGGTGAGAGGCTTGAAAGATCGGGCTTTGGGGGGGCAGTTTGGGAGAGAGGGATTGTGGTGGGGGCCCACCCTTGATTGTAATACTATGTCTCTTCTTAGGGTCCCAACTCCTGCATCTAGGCGGCCCCTGACCCTCTTCTTCCTCCTTCTCTTCCTCCTTCTGGTGGGTGCCACGCTGTTGCTGCCCTTGTCGGGGGTCCCCTGCTGTTCCCATGCCCGGCTGGCCAGGACACCCTACCTGGTGCTCAGCTATGTCAATGGTCTCCCTCCAATCTGAGTCCACCAGCCCAGACACGTGCATTAAATGGTCCCTTTCAAGAGGTCACTGAGAGTATTAGTGCTTGAGAACTTGGAAACAGATAGCTCGGATGTGTTCTGACAGCCCCTTCTCCACTCCTTTGTCCCGAGGGCAGGATGCAGAGAGCCTGTCTTAATTGTGGTCCCCAAATTGTAACACAGAGATTAAATGTAGCCCAAGCTGTTGATGGAGTGGTAGGAGAATGAGAGGATGATCCAGGGAAGGGAGCGGGCCACCACTGGCTGACGTGAAGAGCCGGTGGCTGCAGTAGGTACCCAGAGTGCCAAATGGCTGGAGACCCCGGGAAACCACGTAGAGCACACTCAAACTGGTTCCAGGCTTCCACACTTCCTTGGTGAGGTCTCTTCCTAGGGAGGTGGACTTCCTAATACTTCCTGTCTATCTGTCTGTCCTCCACATAAACAGTCTCTGGGAGTTGGGGGAGAATGAAAGGAAAGCAGAGACGGCACCTGCCAAGGAAGCAGGTGCCAGGCTGGTGCAGGTGCTGCTGGTACACAGCCAACACCTGTCTCACATCCATTCTGGAGATGTTCCCGTATTCTGCACGGACGGGTGTAGGCTGGGCAATCACTAGCTCAGGACTGAGACAGTCACTTTCCTTCTTAGAATTTCCCCCCTCATACTAGGTTACTGCCTAGTCCAGGCTGATTTTGAACCTCCTGCCTCAACCTCCAGAGGGCTGGGATTACAGGTACATGTCGTTGGGCCTAGCTAGTATTTCTGTTCTGTGTTGCTTTTAAACCCAGGGCCTGGAGCATGCCAGGCAAGCGGCCCACCATTGATCCAAATCTCTAATCCAAATTCCGGGGCTTGACAACCTCATCTCCTCACATCTAAGGTGTGAGGGAAGGGACAAACGCAAGAACAAGCCGGAGCCCTGTGCTAACCCCGATGTTCATTGAACAGTTTCCCCTCCCTGTGCTGGTCTCCAAGCTGCACACAGAATCCACACCTCCTTGAATTGCCACACCCTGTGACAAGGCCCCACTGTAGCCAGGTGCAAAGAGAAGACAGGGCTGAGGCCGCACAGGAGCGAGTGACTAAGGCCAAGTCCTCCCTGGCTTAATGCAAATGGTAGTTTGTGTGGTAACTTCTTGCACAAGTAAATGCTAAATGATGTTTTCATCTCCACACACACCCCCATTTTGTCTTTGTCCATTTCCTAGTGGCCAGAATGTCCATCAACTTACCAGTCAACAGGATAGCTCTCCCTTGAAACTTTCATACTTAAAGTCCCAAGGAGGGCTCCTCTGACTTAGGCCAAGTTTTCACCTTCAGGAGGAGCCACAGTCAGGTCTGCTGGAATCATGGAGGCTAACCATGGGGAAAGGAGTGTGTCTTCAAAGTAAATTGGAATGGCTACTGGAAATGCAAAAATGGGTACTGAAGAGGTCTGGGAAGCAGTAGCTTCTAGGAGAGCCCACGTTAAGATAGTGCAAACCAGTAGCTAAGGGATATATCAGGGAATCTGTCATTATTATCTGTCTTCCTAAACATGTCTGTCTGTCTATCTATCTATCTATCATCTTCTGTGTGTGTACACAGGCAGATGGACATCAGACAAATTGCTTTAGTTGGTTCTCATCTTCTCCTGTGTAGTCCCTAGGATTTGAACTCAGTTCGTCAGGCTTGTCACTAAGTTTGTTTATCTACTGAACCATCTCTCTGGCCTCTTTTCCTTCCTTTTCTTTTCTTTTTTTTTTTTTTAAGACAAGGTCGCTCTATGTAGCTCAGGCCCTTGGGGCCAGGAATACATGGAGGCTGGGATGTGTAAAGGGCACAGGTTGGCCATGACTTCAGTAGTCACTTTCAGAACTCTGGAGTTGAGATGGTACCAAGATTAACCTCGGGGCTGGAGGTGAAGCCCAGTGGTTATCCAACTTGCTTAGCAAGCACAAAGCCACAAACAGAGCAAACAACAGACCAGCATGTGTTGTGGTAGAACACGCCTGTGATCTGGAGGTGGAGTTGCAGGCCATTATCCCTCACATGACCAGATTGAAGTCAGCCTGGGTTTAAGTGAGTGCATGTTTTAAAAAGAACAAAAAACCGAAACCAATCAAAATCGCCTTGCTGAATAAAACTGAAGCTGAAAGTTGAGCAGATAGCTAACATCCTATGACGGGGGTAACAAAGTTCGGTAAAAGCCTTATGTAAGTAGTGTCACAGGCTCTTTTTCCGTCGTCACACTCCCAACCTAGGCTATAACAAGACCCTGTCTCGAAAGAAAAAGCAAAGACCCCCTAATGAAAGAATCAACAAGAGTGTTAGGACGGCCAACAGGGAAGTGACACACCTGACATTTATTCCCTTTATACCAGAACCCTGAGGAAGGCTAACAGGAGAAGGGACTAGGGTTTCTCCGGGAGTCTTAGGCTCAACAGCCGGGATGAGCTACCGTAACCTCCCTTACAATCGTAGTTCTTCACAGCGAGTGGGACTGGGAAGTTTCTCACGGTTCATCAGGGTATTCTATTAAACGTGGGCGGCAAAGTCTGTTTTCTTGGCATTAAAAACAGCAAAGGGCGGGGAGTGGGGAGGTAGGTGTGTTCTTATAGAAGTCAAGAGAGGTGTCACGGCCCCGAGGGGAGGAGAAAGAGCGTCCGTGCTCTCTTGGACTTCGGGATGGTGAATTCCAGCATTCATTGTGCAGGCCGCCGGTGCCACAGGATGCTCGGGACCTCCTTGGTGAGGGGGTGTCTGATCTTTCAGCATGCATTGAGAAAACCCGACTGTCTCTCGAGACATCTCAACTTCCATTTGGATGAGTTCCCGATCCTCCCAAAACTGTCAGAAGGAACCTTTCTCTGGGTCTGTCACCGTTCATCGGACCGCGTCTCCCGTGCCTTCACAGGCAGTCTTTGGGGCACCGCCATCATCCAGCCTGGTCTCCGGGGCTGTCACGTCGCCGGGTTCCTCAGTCGGACCCCGCGGGCGCACGAAGGTACCCATGGCCGTGGCGTGGCCGGAACGCAGAAGCTGTAGCTGGCGCCGTCCCCGGCGGTACAGATACTCGATACGCAGCACGTCGGAGCGCGGGAGGCTGGCGTGCTGCCGGAACTCGGCCCGCACCCGCGCCTCGGCGCCCGGCTTCCCGCGTCCGGCGCGCAGCAGCTCGCGGTACAGGCTCAGAACCTGCCTCTGCAGCCGGCTGGGCCGGCTCATGACCGCTACGTCGCGGTCAGTCGCCCTACACCGGCCGGAAGAACCGCCTCGACACACGTGCTGAGAAGCTAACGGGCAGGGCAACAGGCACATCCGCCGGATGTCCCGCCTCCTGGTATCCGGTGCCCCCGCATCTGATTGGCTGGTACTGAAGTACGTCATGGCAGCTCTAGAAGTGGGCGGAGTCTCTGGTGCTCTGGTCCACCCTAAAGAGTCTTTGAGTGGCTTACAGCCCTGAATAGTTCTGAACTTGGATAGAAGCAAAGGCAAGAGCCTAAGCGGTTAGATTCTGGAAGAGAGTTGGAGGAGATGTTCTGAGTCCTGGGAGTACTGAGAGCGAAGGGTTCGAGTCCGGGGGGGTTACCAGACGGCATGGAGATATTGGGAAGGGATGAGTAGTTTTTAAAAACATTTTTACTGTTTTGGGAGCTGTAAAGTGCATAAACTGACGGCATGACCGCTCCATGGTGTGGTTAAGGGGAAGCTTTTTGTTTGTTTGTTTGTTTGTGTGTCTGTTGTAGTTATGAGAGAGAGGACAGCCAGATACATCTAGAAGAGTCCTGAGTAGAGAGAGAAAATAGACTGGATATAGCCAGGGCTGTCTGCAAGAGAAGAGAGAATAGTGTTCTTTCAGGATTAGCCATACAAACCCCTGGGAGACACCAGTGTCAGTAGGGTATCAAGACGGTTTATTAAACACACATACCAAGACTGATTAATCAGGGATGCAGACCCTAGCCAGTTCTCAGGACCAGTTTTTTATATGGGAAAGCCCACGAACAGGTGCATTTGGCTATTTAGAGAAAGCAGTACTGTCTGACCTTTAAGCTGATTGGCTGGGTCTAGAGGCAAGAAGGCTAGGGAATTTCCAGAGGTCTCGAGGCGCCACACAAGAACACAATGTTATGGGTCAAGGAACATTAGGTCAGGTTAAGGTCATGAACTACAGAACGAAGGTTGAGGCAGAACTATTGTCAGGTTTTAACACTTAACAAATAGCAGGGGATAGTGAACAGAGAAAACAGAAGTAGGAGAGGGTGTAGAGAGAACAGTGTGAATAATAACAGGATAATGAGGAGAGTGAGTAAGTATCTGGGGGAGGGAAGCCGCCGGAGAGCTGGAGGGAGTTTAGGGGATTGGAGTTTCCCTTGGACCTGATAGAAAGATAGATCAGCTAGTAAGTGTAGCCAGTCTTTGTTACTTTGTGAGTTCTTCTTTTTCCCCACCCTTTATCCCTGCCCCCTCCCTTCTAGATCGCTAGATAGGAGAGAAAGAAGGATAGAGGGGAGGGAGAAAGGGAGGAGAGAGAGAGAGAGAGAGAGAGAGAGAGAGAGAGAGAGAGAGAGAGATGGGGTTTCAGCCAGTAGTGAGCCAACGTGGTGTGCGTGCTTGGAATGGAACCCAGGTCCTCTGGCAGAGCAGCCAGTGCTCTGAGCCACTGAGCCATCTGTCCATCATGTGTGTCTATGAACATATGGACAGGGCAGAGGAGAGGGTCAGGGCCCATGAAGCTGGTGCTACAGGCCGTTGTGAATGTAATGGGTGCTGAATGTACGAGACACAAGGCGGAGGTAGACTGACTCCGTTTGAGTAGGCTGAGATTGCTTCATTGGAACAGCAGGGGGCCCCAGCACTTCTGTGGGATGAAGGTTACCTGCGTTTAGAGGGGCCGGGGGACATGTGTGTATGTGCACACACATATAAATAGCTACCAGGAAGTTACAGGTATTTTTTGTCATTTGGCTAGGAGCAGGGTGGATTGTGTAGAATAGAGTTTATTTAGGGAATAGGGAGGGGAGTCGAGGGGGTAGTGGAGACAGAGAAAGGCAGAGAGAGAAAGA